AAATGAAGAGGTCAGGATGTGGTAAAAATAGCAAAAAAAAAAAAAAGCCCAAAATAAAACCAAGAGCAGGAGGTGAAATTCGGTGTCAGAAAACTCAGACCGTGGGAGGGTTTTGATTACTGGGAACTCAATGGGTGCAGTCAGGAAAAAACCCAAATAAAATAGTAAATGATTCATTGAAAATGGGCTGTGCAGTAAACCCAGGAATGACTGCAGTCACCCACAATAATTTTTATTTTTTTTTTCCCAGATGATTTCTCAGTGACAGCTCAGGCCATGCAGAACCCTCTCAGTGTCTGCAATTTTCATCCAGCAATGAACTGATTGAAAATCATCACCTGCACAACCCAGGGAAGGAAAATAACAATTTCCCATCATTAACATCAATAAACRTTTCCCCCAAAAGAAATATGGGCATCCCATTCAGTTTCTCATACAAATATTGGCAGAAAAAAGAAAAAAATTGAGTCAATTTTAACTCAAATCCCACACATCAATATCTCTGACTGTTCTCTGTGTTATTATTTTTTATTTAGGGTCCTCACCTCCCCTCCAGGGTAACGATAGAGATATTTCTCCTGATCCCTCATGGCAAATTCCTCTGGGTATTTGGCTTCAATTTCTGCGTAGGTCATTTCTTCACAGACCCCCTGAGGGAAGGAAATAACATTTACCACAAAATTTCATTTYAACAGAGGGCCAGCAAAGCAATGGGGAGAGAAGCAAAAGCAAAAAGCTGAGATAAGGAAATTGGATCATGGAAATTTTAGGTGGTGCTTCTGACCCAAGAGAAAAATCAGAATTTGGAGTGGGAAAATCGGAATTTAAGAGTTGGAAATGAAGCAGTGAGACACAGAAACCAGAATTTGGGGTAAGATAATAATATTAAAATAATATTAAAATCTGAATTTGGAGTAAGAAAATCTGAATTTGGAGTTGGAAATTAAGCAGTGAGAGAGAAATCAGAATTTGGGGTTAGAAATGAGCAGTGAGACAAAAATCAGTATCTGGAGTGGGAAAATCTGAATTTGGAGTTAGAAAATCTGAATTTGGAGTTGGAAATGACAGCAGTGAGAGAGAAATCAGAATTTGTAGTGGGAAAATCAGAATTTGGAGTGGGAAAATCTGAATTTAGAGTTGGAAATGAAGCAGTGAGACACAGAAATCAGAATTTGGGGTTGGAAAATCTGAATTTGGAGTTGGGAATGACAGCAGTGAGAGAGAAATCAGAATTTGGAGTGGGAAAATCTGAATTTGGAGTTAGAAAATCTGAATTTGGAGTTGGAAATGACAGCAGTGAGAGAGAAATCAGAATTTGGAGCGGGAAAATCTGAATTTGGAGTTAGAAAATCTGAAATTAGAGTTGGAAATGAAGCAGTGAGACAGAGAAATCAGAATTTGGGGTTAGAAATGAGCAGTGAGACAAAAATCAGTATCTGGAGTGGGAAAATCTGAATTTAAGAGTTGGAAATGAAGCAGTGAGACACAGAAATCAGAATTTGGAGTGGGAAAATCTGAATTTGGAGTCAGAAAATCTGAATTTGGAGTTGGAAATGACAGCAGTGAGAGAGAAATCAGAATTTGGAGTGGGAAAATCTGAATTTGGAGTTAGAAAATCTGAAATTAGAGTTGGAAATGAAGCAGTAAGACACAGAAATCAGAATTTGGAGTTAGAAATGAGCAGTGAGACAAAAATCAGTATCTGGAGTGGGAAAATCTGAATTTAAGAGCTGGAAATTAAGCAGTGAGACACAGAAATCAGAATTTGGGATTGGAAAATCTGAATTTGGGGTTGGAAATGACAGCAGTGAGAGAGAAATCAGAATTTGGAGTGGGAAAATCTGAATTTGGGGTTGGAAATGACAGCAGTGAGAGAGAAATCAGAATTTGGAGTGGGAAAATCTGAATTTGGAGTTGGAAATGAAGCAGTGAGACACAGAAATCAGAGTTTAGTGTTGGAAATGACAGAGTCTGGGTGATCACATCCTGCAGGGTGGCTCAGGGCACTCTGAGTTTGGCTACCAGGGTGGTTTGAAGAGGATGGGATTTGGTTTTCTCTCCAAACCTGTGTTTGTCAGGGATGGAAAAYGAACCCTCCCTTCCCCAGCAACCACCCTGCAATTTCCTGAGAGAATCAGAACATCAGCAGCAACCTTTGCCCAGCCAGGAGGGTGTGACAGATGTCTGGGATGTTCAGGGGTGTTTGTTTTCCTCCTCTACATCAGCTGCAATGTCCCAGCAGGTCCTGGCAGCTCTCAACACTCTCAGCCCCAAAAAACTCACCGTGGAGGCTAAGATTTGTCATACACAGACATGGTTATAAATCAACCCAAATCAGCTATAAAATCACTGATTTTCTGGTGATTTAAACATCATTCCCCATTCTAGAAGAGTTTTCAGGCTCTCACTCACAGCATCGATCTCGTTGAGGATTTTCCACTGCTCGTACAGGACACCCAAAGACTCGGCTGTCTGGATGGTCCTCTTCAGCTGGCTCGTCCACACCTTCAGATCCACGATCTCCTGCTCCTCCAGGAAYTTCTTCAGGGCTTGGGAAAACTGGGGAGGGAAGTTTTGGGGAGGTCAGGAGGAGCTCACAGCTCAGGGAATCGCTCAGGGCTGCGGGGGGACAAAGAACCAGCTCTGCCCCTGCTCTCACACAGCCCCTTGTGCTGCAAAATACACCAGGAAAATACMAGTTTATAAATAATTTATATAACTTGAAAGATTCTGTTTGCCTTTGCCCTGAGGAAGGGTGTTGAAGATTCTTTGAAGGGTTTTGTTCCACAAGGTGAACAACCCATTGGAGCAGAAAGGATAATGGCCACCAAGGGCTACCAAGGGCCAGCAGTGGCCACCAAGGACTATCAAAGGATATTAATGGAGCATCAGCCCCAAAGATCACCCTTAGAATGGTCCGAGACACCTGGTCTAGGAAAAAAAGATAAGGAGCAGGACCTCATTATCATCTGAAAAAATCCAGATCTAATAGGAACCCAAATACTGAGAATTACACAACCTTGGACCAATAAAATTCTATGGATTTTGACTGGATAAAGTTTGAGTAAAATCTTGTAAAATGGATGTGTTCTAGAATGATTTCCTCTGCACTCAGGCTGTGTGTAGAAATTATTGCAGTGGCACATCCCGGCCACAGGAAAATACACCAGTTTCAAAATATTTTATATAACTTGAAAGATCCTGTTTGCCTTTGCTCTAAGGAAGGGTGTTGAAGTTTCTTTGAAGCGTTTTGTTCCACAAGGTGAACATCCCATTGGAGCAGAAAGGATAACGGCCACCAAGGGCTACCAAGGGCTACCAAGGGCTACCAAGGGCTACCAAGGGCCAGCAGTGGCCACCAAGGACTATCAAAGGACATTAATGGAGCATCAGCCCCAAAGATCACCCCTAGAATGGTCCAAGGCACCTGGTCTAGGAAAAGAAGATAAGGAGCAGGACCTCATTATCATCCGAAAAAATCCTGATCCAACAGGAACCCAAATACTGAGAAATGCACAACCTTGGACGAACAACTATTAAACCAATAAAGTTCTATGGGTTTTGACTTGACAAAATTTAGGGAAAATCTTATAAAATTGATGTCCTAGAATGATTTTCTCTGTACTCAAGCTGTGTGTGTAGAAATTATTTTAGCAGCACATCCCGGCCACAGGAAAATACACCAGTTTGAAAATATTTTATGTAACTTGAAAGATTCTGTTTGCCTTTGCCCCGAGGAAGGGATTTTGAAGATTCTTTGAAGGGTTTTGTTCCACCAGGTGAGGCATGAGGAGGTGAACAGAGCAGAGAGGATAACGGCCACCAAGGGCTACCAAGGGCCAGCAGTGGCCACCAAGGACTATCAAAGGACATTAATGGAGCATCAGCTCCAAAGATCACCCCTAGAATGGTCCAAGGCACCTGGTCTAGAAAATAAAGATAAGGAGCAGGACCTCATAATCATCCGAAAAAATCCTGATCCAACAGGAACCCAAATACTGAGAACTGCACAACCTAGAACCAATGAACATTAAACCAATAAAGTTCTATGGATTTTGACTGGATAAAGTTTGAGGGAAAATCTTGTAAAATTGATGTGTCCTAGAATGATTTTCTCTGCACTCAAGCTGTGTGTAGAAATTATTTTAGCAGCACATCCCGGCCACAGGAAAATACACCAGTTTGAAAATATTTTATGTAACTTGAAATATTCTGTTTGCCTTTGCTCTAAGGAAGGGCACTGAAGTTTCTTTGAAGGGTTTTGTTCCACCGGGTGAGGCCTGAGGAGGTGAACAGAGCAGAAAGGATAATGGCAACCAAGGGCCACCAAGGGCTACCAAGGGCCAGCAGTGGCCACCAAGGACTATCAAAGGACATTAATGGAGCATCAGCCCCAAAGATCACCCTTAGAATGATCCGAGATACCTGGTCTAGGAAAAAAAAGATAAGGAGCAGGACCTCATTATCATCCGAAAAAATCCTGATCCAACAGGAACCCAAATACTGAGAACTGCACAACCTTGAACCAATGAACATTAAACAAATAAAGTTCTATGGATTTTGACTGGATAAAGTTTGAGGGAAAAATTGTAAAATTGATGTGTCCTAGAATGATTTTCTCTGCACTCAAGCTGTGTGTAGAAATTATTCCAGCGGCACATCCCRGCCACAGGAAAATACACCAGTTTGAAAATATTTTATATAACYTGAAAGATTCTGTTTGCCTTTGYYCYAAGGAAGGGTGTTGAAGTTTCTTTGAAGGGTTTTGTTCCACCAGGTGAGGCCTGAGGAGGTGAACAGAGCAGAAAGGATAATGGCAACCAAGGGCTACCAAGGGCAATTAAGGGCTATCAGTGGCCACCAAGGACTATCAAAGGACATTAATGGAGCATCAGCCCCAAAGATCACCCTTAGAATGGTCCAAGGAAAAAAAGATAAGGAGCAGGACCTAATTACCATCCAAAAAAATCCTGATCCAACAGGAACCCAAATACTGAGAACTGCACAACCTTGGACCAACGACTATTAAACAAATAAAGTTCTATGGATTTTGACTCAATAAAATTTAGGGAAAATCTTATAAAATTGATGTATCCTAGAATGATTTTCTCTGCACTCAAGCGGTGTGTAGAAATTATTCCAGCGGCACATCCCGGTCACAGGAAAATACACCAGTTTGAAAATATTTTATATAACTTGAAAGATTCTGTTTGTCTTTGCTCTAAGGAAGGGTGTTGAAGTTTCTTTGAAGCGTTTTGTTCCACAAGATGAACATCCCATTGGAGCAGAAAGGATAACGGCCACCAAGGGCTACCAAGGGCCAGCAGTGGCCACCACGGACTATCAAAGGACATTAATGGAGCATCAGCCCCAAAGATCACCCTTGGAATGGTCCAAGGAAAAAAAAGATAAGGAGCTGGACCTCATTATCATCCGAAAAAATCCTGATTTAATAGGAACCCAAATACTGCGAACTGCACAACTTTGAATACACGACTATTAAACCAATAAAGTTCTATGGATTTTGATTGGATAAAGTTTGAGGGAAAATCTTGTAAAATTGATGTGTCCTAGAATGATTTTCTCTGCACTCAAGCTGTGTGTAGAAATTATTCCAGCGGCACATCCCGGCCACAGGAAAATACACCAGTTTCAAAATATTTTATATAACTTGAAAGATTCTGTTTGCCTTTGCTCTAAGGAAGGGTGTTGAAGTTTCTTTGAAGGGTTTTGTTCCACCAGGTGAGGCCTGAGGAGGTGAACAGAG